GAACACTCCTTAGAAGCAAGGATGGCGAGACTTTGTCTCACGTACTTTGGACGTGTAAATGGGAGGGATCATTCCCTGGAGAAGGACATCAAGCTTGGTAAAGTACGGGGTCAGCGAAAAAGAGAAAGACCCTCGATGAGATGGATTCACATAGTGGCTGCAACCATGGGCTTAAGTATAGAAATGATTGTGAGGATGGCGCAGGACCTAGCAGTGTCTTGTTCTGTTGTACATAGGGTTGCTATGAATTGGAACCAACTCAACAGCACCTAACAACAACATGACTAAAAGCTTTCCCACATTCCTCACAGTTATGAATATCATCAGAAAGAATTCTCTGATGATCAATAAGAGATATGTGATTACATAAACCTTTGCTATATTCATGACATTCATAAGCTCTTCCACTGATTTGGGAACTCTAATGTTGAGTAAGATGTGCTATGATGTTAAATGCCTTCCCACGTTTCTTACAATCAAGGAACTTGGCTCTAGAAGAAATGCTCTGATGTTCATTAAAGGATGAGTAGCACTTGAAGGTCTTCCTACATTCATAAGGTTTTTCCCTATTGTGATTTCTGTGATGTGCAATAAGTTCTTACCTGTGACTTAAGGTATTTCTACATTCCCTGTTCTCATAAGTTTCCTCTCCTGTGTGAGTTCTGTGATGCTGAGTAAGAATTGAGTAATGGCTAACATACTTCCCACTTTTGAAATATTCAGAAAATTTCTCTTCTGTATGAATTCTCTGATGCAGAGTAAAGGATGTAGGCTAACTAAAAATGAGGATTTTTCTATTAGTAATCATCATTTGCCAGGAATGTCCCTCCTTATTTTCCTGCTGTCTCTCAACATGCCTCTCACATTTCCAAGCTTCTCTGAAAAGAAACACTCAAAACCACACCCTGTTCTCTTATGCTCAGATGATGTGTCTTCATAAACGGCCTTCTTTAGAGGCACCTGCAGGGTCTCACACATAGATTTGACCTCTGAAAGAGAAAAAAGTCACTACTTATTTTTGCATGTTTTGGGAGAAAAGAAAGACTGTGTCTCAATTGTGATATGATTTTCTTAGGACTGTTTTGAGGTTCCCTTTGGGTGGAAGGGGCAAGCAAGGGGCTTCACAAGTGATTGCAGTAAAACGTGACCCAGAGTTCAGATGGAAGAGATTAAAATGGGAAACAAGGAGTTTGGTGAAGACATTTTCAGATTTAGAGTCTAAAAGACTTGATTTTCACACTCCGGTTTTTCCAGTTACTACTTTGTCCCTATTGGCAAGTTTCTCTGTAACTCAATTTCCTTACGTGTAAAATGAGGATAAACATCATCATATCAAAATAACATAAGAGAAGGGCAGAAAGTAAGTGCTCAAGAAGTGGTTCTGCTAACTAGATAGTAGACAAGGGTCAACTTTGATGAAGGGAAGGACAACACACAATACAGGGGATTTCAGCACAACTGAACCAAAGCAAAAGCAAAGAAGTTTCCTAGACACATCTAAACACTTTAAGGGACAGAGTAGCTGGGACTGGGTCCTGGGGACCATACTTTCAGGGGACATCTAGTTCAACTGGCATAACATAGTTTATAAAGAGAATGTTCTACATCCCACTTTGGTGAGTAGCGTCTGGGATCTTAAAAGCTTGCGAGCAGCCACCTAAGACACATCTATCGGTCCCATCCCACTTGGAGCAAAGGATAATGAAGAAAACCAAAGACACAAGGAAAATACTAGCCCAAAGGACTAAAGGACCAAGTGAATCAGAGACTTCTGCCTGAGACAGAACTAGATGGTGCCCCTACCACCAATGACTGCTCTGACAGGGAACACGACAGAGCAGGAGAAAAACATAAAACAGAATGCACATTCAAATAAAAAGACCAGACTTACTGGTCTGACAGAAACTGGAGGAACTCCTGGAACTACTGCCCCTAGCTGCTCTGCTAATGCAGAGCTGAAACCATTCCCAAAGCCCACTCTTCAGACAAAGATTAGACAGGATTATAAAACAAAAAACAATACACATGAGGAACATGCTTCTTAGTTTAATCAGATACATGAGACCAAATGGGCAACTCCTGTCCAAAAGCAGAATGAGAAGGCAGGAAGGGACAGGAACTGGTTGAATGGACACAGGGAACCTGGGGTGGAAAGGGGGAGTGTGCTGTCACATTGTGGGGATTGCAACCAATACCACAAAACAATATGCGTATAAATTCTTGAATGAGAAATTAACTTGAGCTGTAAACTTTTACCTAAAGCACAATAAAAAAAAAAGAAGAAGAAGAAGAGGAAGTGGTTCTGGTTGTTGTTGTTACTATTATTGAGATATCACCTGGAAGAAACAGGAATCTGGACAAAGAAAATGGCTTGAGGTAAGCACCAAGGACCAGTAGGAATAGCTCAAGAAAGAAAGCTTAAAATCATTTTTGTTCCTACTGATAAAAAACAGTCCACAGAATCCTACCTATTCAATGGTATTCAAATTTCACTCCATTGCATTCCTTCTGACACTGCTTCTGAGTTCAGACCCTGAGCACTTGAAACCTTGGTTTTATAAAACCACACCTAACTGATCACTTTGTCTCCCTCCCACATAAATTTGGCTGCCCTATTGGAGGTCTCTATCATCATCCAACCTTTGGTTAGTTGTTCAAACTTTTATTCATTCCTCAAAAAGATCACCAGCTACACGTCTTAGTATCCAAAGGGATTAACCATTGTCTTTCGTCTTTTCTTCTGTTAGTGACAGTGTTACCTTCAAGTCACCCAGGTTTGAATATAAAACTTGAAAATACTTTAGAGTTAAACTTCATAACCCATATAAGAAATTATCTTGAGGCAGCTTACACTTTGATAATTATAAGTGTGTTATCTCTCCACTGGACTGTATATTCCTTGAGATTTATACCACATTGCTGATTTCTACACTACATATGTTTAAGGAATAATATGTCAACAAATATGTAGATCAATGACAGAAATTTGTCAGAGAAAAGAATAGGTGATTTTCAGGTAAGTAAAGCAAAGAAGGGGAGGTTGCTAGATGGTGCAAATAGTTAAACACTTGACTACTAGCTGAAAGTGCAAGTGCCTCTGAAGACAGGCCTGGGAAAGCTTCTGAAAGGTCACAGCCTTGAAAACCGTATGGAACTCTCTACCCAAGTTCCCCATAAGGCAGAATCGACTTGACGGCAACTAACAACAATGACAAAGCAAAGAAACATCAACAGCATTTTTTTAAAAAAGTAAAGAGTGAATTTTAATGTTGTTGTGAGGTGCCGTCGAGTCAATTCCTACTCATAGCGAACCTACGCACAGCAGAATGAAACACTGCCCGGTCGCTCGCCATCCTCACAATCATTATGCTTGAGCCCATTTTTGCAGCCACCGTGTGAACCCGTCTCGTTGAGGGTCTTCCTCTTTTTCACTGACCCTCTACCAAGCACAATGTCCTTCTCCAGGGACTGATCCCTCCTGATAACATGTCCAAAGCATGTGAGACGTAGTCTCTCCATCCTTGCTTCTAAGCATTCTGGCTGTACTTCTTCCAACACAGATTTGTTCATTCTTTTGTCAGTTCATAGTATATTCAATAGGCTTCACCAACACCATAATTCAAAGGCGTCAATTATTTGGTCTTCCTTATTCATTAGCCAGCTTTCGCATGCCCATGAGGCAATGGAAAACACCACGGCTTGGCTCAGGCGCACCTTAGCTTTCAAGGTGACATCTTTGCTTTTTAACACTTTAAAGAAGTCTCTTGCAGATGAGATTTCAAATCATTGGCTACTCACAGCAGATCCCATCGTGGACGTGATCACACTACATCAAATCTCATCATGGAATTGATCACATCGTGACTGGCAAACCACTTAGAATCATGGCCCAGCCAAGTTGCCGCATAACCTTAACCATCACAGTCCACCCCTTGTCAACTTGGCACCTGTATACATCTCAAACCATACATAACCTGTGAATAAAGATAATTATAAAGTCATACTTGTGCCTAACGTGATATAATGAACCCACATACAACGAAAAGGCCACTAGCCCTACTTACATCTTGTATTTTATAAGTGAAGAAAACAAATCCTTGCTGCATACACACAAAACAGAAATACTCATAATTACAGTCCTCGTTTCTACTACTGCTATTCTGACTTCACGGATGAGGGCACTGATTTTAGACACAGACTTTCAAATGTGCTGTAACAACTTTCCATTTACTGCAAACATCAAGGGCATCACCCAGACACAACGGAAGTGCGAGGGAAGTCGAGCGGCAAGTCAGCCCTCCGAGCTCCGAAGCTGAAGGCGGTGGGGGACCACGCCGACACCTCACTCCAGCCTCGGTTCTCGATCGAAGACGCAAAGCAACGGCAGCGCCCACCCCCTAAGGCCGACGCCCGGAAAAAGGGCAGGATGCAGGTAAAGAGCTCCAACGGCCTCACGTGCCAGACACAGTCCAGGCTACCGCAAGCCGTGCGGCGGGCACATAGTGCGCCTTGTCAGGACACCCGGTCGCCTAGCAACGCTCCGGCACAAGGCTGGGGCCGCTCACTGTGGAGTGGAAGTGCGCCTGCGCAAACCCGTGGACGGCTGGTACTACAATTCCCAGAATACTCTATGAATTAACCAAGGTCTCCCCTAGCGGCTAAACACAAAAATTTTACCCCGGCACTTCTCATGTGCCTCTCCCTGCCGTAAGAAAAGGAATGCAGTCCTGGTGTAGAAAACGCGTTTTTGTGCATGGAAAATTTCCCACTGGTGTCTCACAGTATACTGGGACATCTTGTTGAACTAGGAACCAATCATACGTAGGAACCCGAAACTTCACACTAGCGAGCTTACGGAAGAGTCCCGCGTTTAAGGCGCGGCCCCTCGGAGCCCTCAGAAAACGGCTGTTCCAGGGCGCGCAGGACTCTGGGAAATGTAGTTCTGCGCGTACACTTCCGCAGTCGGGCCGCGTACACCGCGGCGCTGCGGGGGCGCAGGGGGAGGGGTGTCTAGGGTGGAAGATGGGCGACGAGGCTGTGTGGCCGGAGATGACTTCTGTGTCCGCCCGAGTTCCGCGGTGACACCAGCTATAGCCCCGACCCGCCCCAGAGCCTGGTCTCGAGGAATGCCCGAGAAGGCTGCCTCCTAGTGCACGCGCCGTCTCCGGGCCTGGTAGGGTGACCCGGGGCCGCGTGGGAGGGGACGAGGGGGTCTCCGAGACGCCGAGCGGCGGGCGAGTGGGCGGGGCTGGATCGTGGGATTCTGTGGGGGTGAGTGACGAGGGGTTTGTGGAGGTGGCTGTGAAACTGATTAATTTGGGGACATCTGAGGGACAGTTACTGGAGTTTCTGCGGAAATCAATCATTTGGGGCTTGAGTGGTTGTGGGGCCAGTGGGGGGAATTAATTGGTTGATTGGGAACGTCTAGGGTGAATCGTTGGAAGGGGCCTTTGGGGATCACTTCTGAAGTCTTTCGGAGTTGAGCAATCGAGCGTTGGAGGCAGGACGGGGAGAGATTGAGAGTGAGGGAGTCACTGCATGCGGGCTGCCCTTGTTGAGTGAGGGGCGTGGATCAGGGGCCTTGGAGATGAGTGTGTATCTCATGGTGAGGATTTGTTTGTATGAATAATTAGGATTCTGGTGACCAAGGAATTGGAGGTCTTTGGGTTAATAATTGCAGGCCAGTGGGTATGAATAATACCTTTTGGGGGAGGCGTCTATTTTGGGGAGATACAGAGGGAGCCAGAGAATTGTTGGACTATGGATTTCATTACTTGGAAGGGAATGACTGGGATGGCCTGGGATGAGTGGTTAGGTTAAGGATCCTTTCTAGGCCTTGTTTGGGGGCGTGAAATTGAGGCATCAGAGATTGGGGAAGGCGGTCTAGATATAAATGGCTGGTCTGTTGGGGCTGGTGATTGCATGGATGTAGGGTAGTAATTGGAGACCTTTTTGTTGGGAGTCATTGCAGGGGAGCCTGGGGTGTCAGTGTTTGTGGAGAGTTGGAAGCCCTTACAGAATGATGATTAGGAAGCCATATGGGAGTGTCAGTGGATGATGAATGAGCATGGGGTGCATCAGAGAATGGGGTGTCACGTGGGGTGAATACTTGGGGGCACTGTGAGATAAGGGATTAGGGATCCTTTGGGGTTTAGTGATGGGGCTACTTTAGGCAGCTTGTAGTGATAAGAGACAGCCTGAGGATGTCAATGATGGGGGTTCTGTGAGAGCAGTGATGGGGTACCTGTTAAGGAGAGTGAGTGGATGTCTATAGGAGTGATTGGAGTTCTTGCGGGGGGGGGGAGCATACTTTGGGATGCAGCATTTGGGGCACATTTTTGGTCAGTGATTAGACAATCTGTGGAGATTATTAAATGGGGGGCTTAGGGGGAGCCACTGGGGTGTCTTGGGATCAGTGTTTAGAAGGTAGGCTCTTTCTCTTTCTGAGCTCAGCTAAACGTTACCTCCTCTGAGAGGCCTTCTGTGACTGTACTCCAGATGTTGTTGTTAGTTGCGTGGAGTCGGCTCCAACTCATGGCGTCCCCACATGTGCAGAGCAGAACTGCTCCATAGGGTTTTCAAGACTAATCTTTCAGAAGTAGATTGCCAGGCCTATCTTTCGAGGTGCCTCTGAGTGGGTTCAAACTGCCAACCTTTTGGCTAGTAGCTGAGCGCTTAGCCGTTTGTGCCACCCAGGAACTCCATCCACACATACTCTGTCACGTTACTCTTCTAAGTACTCTCACAGTCTGAAATTATTTTATTTACTTGTCTGTTTCCCACTCTTGAATGTATTTCCTGTAGGACAGGCACCTTGTTTATTTTAATAGTCTCTCCCCTGTGCCCAGAACAGTGCCTAGGACATAACAGGCACTCAGCAGAAGCTGCTTCCTTGACCAGTAAATGAGTCTGTGGGAGTGTGTGCTTGTGTGTGAGTGTATGTGAAACTTAGTGTGACTGAGAAAGGATGGTGTGAGTATGTCAATACAAATAGGCACTCACTTCCTGATTTCTGAGGGGAAGGGCAGGCATATTTGTCCCAAGGTGAGGTGAGGAAGAAGCAACATAAAAGCTTTCCTTAGACCTCTCTTCTCGCTGCCCCTTCTGGCTGCCAAATGTTCTAGGCTGCTTAGCCCCAAACCCACACTTAGGCAGTCAGCTTCACTACGGCTGCAATCTCACCTGGGGTCTCTTTTCCTTATTACTATTGCTTCCTCTGATCTATGCTTTTCTTTTACCCCAGGGCTGATTTGGGGGGAAGGAAGCTAGCACCCCAGGCTAATTCACCAATTTGATCTTTAGCCCTTTTCTGTTTACCATCCTGCCTAGGAATGAGTTGAACTTTATTCCATTGCATCCTTGAAAGTAATTTATTTTATTTAAGTGCCCCCAGGAAATATTGCTGGAGAATGAGAGAGCTATCACTGTATTTCCAGAATTTCTTGATGTCCTTGCAGAGAGGTTTGGTGTGGTGGTGCTGCCCACTGTGGGTGTTTGCTGGCACCAGTGAGGTGGGTGGTTTCAATCTGGTGTGTATGGGTGGGACCCAGGGCTGTTAAGTGGGATGCATGGGGTGGACCTGGCCCAGATGCCGGTCACTCTCCATTGAGACCCACAGTTGCTCACATTCCGTCCTGTTTTGTTCCCCACCAGCCCTTATTCAGTCTCCAGACATCCAGTCTGAGGCTTCAGATATGAGTTACCAACAAGAGGAACACAGGATGTAGGACCTCAAATTAACTACGTCATCCAAAATAAATTTACACGGGCCATGGCACTCAGGAACAAGACAATTCACATGAGATAAGAAGAGGCCTCAGGATCAGGAATGCATTCTCAGTGTACAGACCTTTGAACAGAAGCCTCTCCACAGAGCGGCAGGACAGAGAAGTCACAGCACACAGCAAGTGTCCCAGAAGCAGCAGAAAATGATCAAGTCACAGGTGAGTTATTTGTTGATCCTCTGGCAGTGAACGTGAGGAGGCTTAGCAGAATCACTACAACAAACATCATATGTAGAAAAAAAAAAAAACTTGTAGAAAATTGTCAAGAGAAGCACAAAGTGGATTATAGGATCATTCAAAAGTCTTACCTTTGGAACACAGATGGAGACGATATAAGGTCCTTCACTGTTAGAGTTAAGCTGCAAGCTTTTCTTAGATATTCTGTGACACAAAGGGAAACAGGAATAGCTACAGGGTTTCTTCTGTCAAAAGGAAAAAGGGGAGCAGTTACTCAGGAGGAGCAATATTTCCTTACACATTGTTTTGATAGCTATTTATATAGGCTATAGTGGACAAAGTCCTAAATAGCAACTTTATAATAAATGCAATAGAATATTTTCTAGGACTTTTTTGTGAAGAGTTCCTCAAAATTAGCTAAGGGCATGATTCTGAAGGAGAACTCATTAAACAGTTTGTCAGGGGACTGAAACAGCGTGCCTTGAGTATACAGTAGAGCTATATTCGAGTTTTAGGAAAGAAAACTAAATCATCTGGTATAATTGATTACTGCCGTGCCTTCAGTGGTGCCCATAAATAGTCTCTCAGTTGGAATTTTGATACATTTTTTGTAGAAGGCAGTTCAGTATTTTCTTGTTTATTTGCCCTTTGGGGTTCCAGCTTTATGAGGGAAGTGTTATGGATTGACTGTGTCTACCATAAAATGTGTGTTGTAAATCTTAACCCCTGTACCTGTAGTTACAATCTCATTTGGAAATGGGTTTTCTTTGTTATGATAAGAGGCCATGTCAGTGTAGGGTGTGTTTTAAGCCAGTCACCTTCGAGCTATAAAAAGAGCAGATTAGGCCTAGAGTAGCAAGCAGAAATGGGGGAAGACAGATGCCACACCCCACAAAGATCACCAGGGAACCCAGGAACAAAGACCTTCCCCCAGAGCCAAAAGAGAAAGGAAGCCTTGAATTCAGATTTCTAGCCTGCTAAACTGTGAGAAAATAAATTTGTTTGTTAAAGCCTCCACTTGTATTTCTGTTACGGCGGCACTAGATAACTCAGACAGGAAGATATCCTATTAGAGTTTCATTCTTGGACTGCCAGAAGCTTCTCTCCTCTCCTCTATGCCCTTCATAGCTGTTGAGATGAGAATGCTCAGGTTTACCTGTGTTCGGGTGAAAGCTGGCCTTACCTCTCTAGGTTCCAGCTTCCACTTTACAAAAGGGTCTGGGATTGTTTCCATACTTTCCTGTCCCCTTTTATATTATTGACGTCTTTACAGTCGCTCAGATGAATTGTGCTTGTTTTTTTGTTTTTTTTTCTATGGACGTATGCTTTATTTTTCTTGGGTAAATACCCAAAAGTAGAATGACTGGGTCATAAGCTAGTCACATGTTTAATTTCTTAAGAAACTGCCAGACTGTTTTCCAAAGTAGTTGTGTCATTTTACATTCCCATCAGCAGCATATGAAAGTTCCAGCTGGTGCACATCCTCACCAACACTTGGTAGATCAGCCTAAGTTCAGACATTCTAACAGGTATATTGTGTTATCTCATAGTTTTTTTGTTTTTTTTTAATTGTGCTTTAAATGAAAGTTTACAGTTCAAGTTAATTTCTTATATGAAACTTCATACACACACTGCTATGTGACCCTAGTTGCACTCCCCATACTATGACAGCACACTCCTCCTTTCCACCCCGGATTTCCCATGTCCATTCAACCAGCTCCTGTCGCTTTCTGCCTTCTCATCTCGCCTCCAGACAGGAGCTGCCCATTTAGTCTCATGTATTTGCTTGAGCTAAGAAGCACACTCTTCACGAGAACCACGAGTATCACTTTATATCTAATCTTTGAAGAGTTGACTTTGGGAATGGTTTTAGTTTTGGGCTAACAGAGAGTCGGGGGGGCCATGTCTTCTGGGTTTTTTGATTTTTAATGCCTTTGCTCATGCTGCTACCTCTGGAAAGTCCTTTTCCCTACAACCCTGTGTAACCCGTTAGTGCTTTCCTAAGACCCTTCATAAGCTTTACCCTCTTCTTACTGCCTAACCTAATGTCCACAAGGAGCCCTGATGGTTCAGTGGTTAAGAGCTCAGGCTGCTAACCACAAGGTTAGCAACTAGAATCCACCAGCCACTCCCTGAAAACCCTATGGGGCAGTTCTGCTCTGTGTCAGCAGGCCTCCATTGAGGTCGCTATGAGTTGGAATTGACTCGATGACAGCGGGTTTGGTTGTTTTTTAAAATATCCACAAATCACTGTCTTTATGCCTCTTTTGTCCCTGTACCCTGTATACTCTCGTCTCATAGCCAATCTCAAACCTTACTGCCTTTGCATGGGTAGACTGTTGGCCTGAAAAGACTAAGAAGTATTTGAAAACATGAATTTTTTCTGCTCATTTTTATATTTCTAGCACCCATTACAGTTCCTTGTACCTTAATGGTTACTATTTAAGTTCCAGAAGATATCTAAAAGAACTAGACAGTTCTTGTTTGGGAGCAGAACCACCCCCCTGAGGGAAGAGAGTGTTTTAAATATGCGGATGTGCCTACATATCTGCTGTCATTTAGTGGGTAGAGGCCAGGCCTGCTTAAAATGCATGGGGCAGTCCTGCTCAGCAAAGAATTGTTCCAAACACAACCTATTCCAATTTCTTATAGAATGGATTGGTGGATGGATGAATTCACAATGGTAAATATTTTAATAACATTTTTGTTTCTTCCTCAAAGTATAATTCCAGATTAGTTTTCTATTGCTGTGTGTTATCTATTGAATTGTGTTCCCCAGAAATAGATGTTGTAAATCCTAGCCTCTGTGCCTGTGGTTATAATCCCATTTCAGAATGGGTTGTCTTTGTTATGTTAATGAGACAGGATTAGTGTAGGGTGTATCTTGAGTCAGTCTCTTTTGAGATTTGAAAGAGATTGAACAAGCAAGAGAAGCAGACATGGAGGAAAACTGATGCCAAGCCACATGGAGATCCCCAAGGAACCAGGGAATAAAAGCTGAAGAGACAAGGAACTTCCCCTAGAGCTGACAGAAAGAGAAACCCTTCCCCTAGAGCTGATGCCCTGAATTCAGACTTCTAGCATCCTAAACTGTGAGAAAATAAATTTCTGTTTGTTAAAGCCACCACTTAATCTGTTACAGCAGCACTAGATAACTAAGACACTGTGTAACAAATTATCACAAACCTGAGAAGCTGAAAACAACATTATTTCACAGTTTCTGTGTGTTAGGACTCTGCCAACAGATCACCCAGGTGGTTTTTGTTCAGGGTCTCTCACAAAGCTGTAATCAAGATGTTGGACAGGGCCGAGTCCTCTCAAGGCACAGTAAGATGATCCCCTTCCAGGCCTCAAGATTCCCCTTCCACACTCATGCATGTGGGTGTTAGCAGGCCTCCATTCCTTGCCCCTGGACGTCTTCACAGGACTACGTCACAACATGGCAGCTGGCTTCCCGCAGACAGCTTGCCCAAGACAGAAGCCACAGCCTTTTTATAACCTAATCCTGGAAGTGACATCCTATCACTTCTGCCCTATTATAGTCATTGAAAGCAAATTAGTAGTCCCGCCGACACTCAAGTGGGAAGGACTACGCAAAAGCATGATGACAGGAGTCAGAGATCACTGGGGCATCTTAGAGACTGCCCACCACAAATAAAAAGATAGCCTGTCTTCTACAAGATCTTTGGATCTAACAGGGATTGTGCTTTTCAGGTGTCATTTGAGGATGTGGCTGTGGATTTCACATTGGAGGAATGGCAGCTGCTTAATCTTACTCAAAAGAACTTATACAGAGATGTGATGTTGGAGAACTACAGCAATCTAGTTTTCTTGGGTAAGAACACTCATCTTACATAACTTACTATGTACCCAGTAACTGTGGGGCCTCTGCGGTGATTCTGGATTTAAGTTTCAGATGTTAAAGATTCTTTAGTTTCTACACCCACTTGAAAGACTTTTATTTGTTCGCTTTATCTTGCAGTCTTTTTAATAAAACATTCTTCATATTTAAGAATCCTTCAGCCTAAGCAATTGGGTTCAGGTCCTCTGTGTTTCCACTTAACAGGGTATCAAATTATCAAACCGAATGCAATTTTCAAGCTGGAACAAGGAGAAGAGCCATGGATAATAGACGAAGAAATGATAAGTCAGAACTTCTCAGGTGAGAAAGAACCAGGCTGTATGGGATGCAAAAATAAAAAAAAACATTGCTGTCAAGTCGATTCCAACTCATAGCGACCCTATAGGACACAGCAGAACTATCTCATGGGGTTTCCAAGGAGTGGCTGGTGGATTGGAACTGCCAACCTTTTGGTTAGCAGCCAAGTTCTTAACCACTGCGCCACCAGGGCTCTGTATGTGATGCAGTGAAAGCTAAATCTCAGTTTTTTAATGACAGGTTGGCACTTTTGAAAGGTTGTTTACAAAACTGTATATAAAGTTTCTAAATCTGGTGACATAAGTTCTTCGTGGTTGTAAATTAATATGTTGTATGTCTGGTCTCCACGTTAGGACTTGCCTTCTTTACATAGATTAACGATGAAATGTGCTCCCTCTGACCCACGCAATGTAATAGATTGATGGCTGGTTATTTAGGACCTTGCCTTCTTGGATAGGGTTCTTCTTCCTAGCTTCTTCTGTCTCCTTTTCCTTTTTCTCTCCTGCCCTCCAAACCAGCCTGTCAAGGATAGGTTTCTTTTCTCCTCTTCAAGAATTCCTAAATTTTTCCTCATTTTAGTTGACACTGATTCCCTTCTATTTTCCTTTAATAATTGTTTTTTTCCTTCCTAAAAATTTGTCAGATTTCTATGTTAAGTCAGAGAGGAATCAAAAGGTGAATCCATGGATATAGAATAAGCATCTGATATTTAAACAGGGGAAGGAGATTCTGCCTCTTCCCTACTTCTGTGCAGCCTGGGGGCTTTGAAGCCAGCTTCCAGTCATCTTTCTGGGGCATCTGACGCTTAGCTTCTCTAAGTCTTCTCATGCATTTTCTCCAATAGTCTGACAGGTTGAAGTCTCCCCATGACCTGCTATGTGATATTTAAACACCTTTTATGTTAAAGAACCTCATGGTATTATCTGTCTAATTATTTTTCTGTGCCCAAAGTCATAGTCAACTCTGTTTAAGCTAGGTTCTTCTTTAATGTCATTCCTACATTTTTCTGGGCCTTTGCTTATAGTATGCTTTCCCCATTAACATTATCCTTCTCTTCATTTTGAGTTCTCTTGTCACCTCCAGTGAATATTCCTTTACTCCCAGCCTTTTCTGAAATCTCTACTCAGTATCTGTATCATGGGAACTCAGACCTGATTAGAACTTAGTCAATCCAGAATTCCTTAATATGATTCTTAGGTTTTTTTTTCCCCACAAAGAGAGATGGCTAGTAACGTATTCTTTTTTGCTCTCTATGGAATTTACACTGTGTATTAAGTATTTCATTGATTGTTGTGGAACCAGGTGAGGGCAGACTCTTACTCATCAAGTAGTTCTTTAATACAAAGGTTTTCATCTAAGCCTGTGCATCAGTGTACCCTGGGAAATATTTGACATTATAGTTGTGGAGGCACCATTCACATGGTTCATTACATCTAGGTATGTGTGGTTTGGTAAATCTGTGTCGTTTTTATGTTCCCCCATTAATTGAGAACCACTGCAGTTGTGTTCAGTGAAAGGGACTGAGTGAAATAAGAGCCATGAAATACCTTATAGGAGCCTAGAATTTCATTTCAGAAGATAATACAAAACCATATAAGACATTCAATTGAACATGAAGTATTTGTGTTAAAATTCAAAGTTGATTACTAAGACTAATGATAAAGAAAAGTACTACTTTAGAAGTTCATTAATAAGTCAAAATGTTTATCCTACACGTATTGAGGACTTGTTTTATGCTATGCAATTTGGTATGTACATTAGTGAAAAGTACAGACCTGTTCCCTGTCCTCATGGAATTTACATTCTAGTGAGAGAGATAAAAGTAAAATGATCACATATTTGATAAATGATATGAAGGAAATAAGCAGGGTTTTTGTTAGTCAACCATCAAAATGATGTTTAGACTTGAATGAGCTAGGCATTCCAAATAAAAGGAACAGCAGATGCAAACGTCCTAAGGCTGAAAAGGTCTCTGTGGCCAAAGAAACAGAAACGAATCCATTGTGGCTGAGGAGTAGTGAGTGAGAGTGATAAGAGATGAAGTTGAAGAGGCTGGAAGACACCGGGTTACACAGGGCCATGGTAAACCTTGATAAGAAGTCTGAATTTATTCAAAGTGTGTTTAAGGAGAGGATTTTTGGCTTCTGTAAGGAGATTAGTTTTAAACAGGGAGCAGGACTGGAAGCAGTGACACCAGTGTGGAGAAGTGGAGTGAAATGAAGGCAGCAGGCTACACTGGGAAAATGTGATCTACCTGTTTTCCTAACAATATTTTCTTATTTTTCAAGGATTTTTGACACAGTTGAATATCTAAACTTTTAAATCTGTAAATGAATTACTCCATTGTATATATCATTTAATTTATTATTTGGATAAATATATTTCTTAATCTTGTTTTTTATTTTAATCTAAAACTATCATTTTTTTTTCCACAAACATTTCATAAAACAATTCTTAATTCTTCAAATGGATCTCATGCTATTCATATCTACATATTACTCTTGCTTTTAATCCCCAGACCTCTTATTTCTGTAGTCTTTCCCACCTCAATAAATAACATTATCATCTTCACTCACTTAAGTCCCAAATGTTGAGTCCTCCTTTTATTCTTCTATATTAGTGGCTTTAGTTGGTTCTTCCTCTGAAATTCTGATCATGTCTGACAATTAGGTGAGGGTTCCCCCCCCCCCCAAAAAAAAATTTACCCATCATAAAAGTAGTAGTTTCCTTATGTTTGAGACCTTACCAAATGTTTCATGTTGCAGAATACTTCCTGGGACTATTACCTCATATATTGCTAGTAAAGGACATCATCAAAAAGGAAACAAACCTTTAAATGATCACTTAAAAATATTCAATAAATGGTCATGTTGTGGAAATCACAAACAGTTGTACTTACAGGGTGAAAAAAATCTGTCCTAATATTTTGCAAATAGACACTTGCTATTTTCTATTGTGTAAATAGATAATTTTTATTGATAGCAATATATGTGCATATATGTTTTTTCATTGTATAGATTATAGATTGAATTAAAAAGGGTTGATTATCAAAAAAAATACTTAACTAAGAGTGAATGATGGAGAACTCTTGGATAATTCCAAAAGTAGCTCTAGTGACAATGAAGTAACTGGTATCAATGATTCAGGTGATGATCTTGAATAAGAATGTTTTTACAATATAAAGTTAATACAGAAATGTAATGTTTCTCATCTTTCAGGTCTAAAGTTGGTATCCTACATTTACTCTACATCATATCCAGTATTTCTTCCTTTATAGCATTCTACAGTGTATACTAATTGTGTTCTTTTGTTTATTTATTATTCTCAGTCTTTTTTACTGTATTGTAAGCCCTGCGATGGTAGGGTACTTACCTGTTTTCTTTCCTGATCTGCTACTAACAGAGTTCTAGACCATAGTAGATAATCAGTATATTTTTATATAGGAAGTAAGTTAACCACGCCAGTACTCGATTAGAAATTACTCCAGACTCTTTAATCTCACATTGACTGCTTCTTGAGTATATTTCATCTCTTCTTATTTTACAAGTTTATAAACATTTATCATTTAAAAATCTGTTTTAATTTCTGTTAAATATTTTAATGTCCAATAAGTAGACCCTCTATTTAAGGAGTTTTTAAAACTGTTATACTAGACTCCATTTCTAAAATTTTTTTGCAATAAGCATAATCATTGGAGGATTTACACACTATGGTTCATTTTTTCCTTTTTAGAAGTCTGGCTAGATAATAATCACAATATGAGGCACGAGGATAATCAAGACAAGCTTAAAAGTATGGAGAGATGCCATGAATATGATGTTTTGGGGAAAATATTTCATTCAGGCATGAACTTTGCTCATTTAGCAACGAGACCGCATAAATATGGCACAGGTGGAAAAAATTTAAAACATCCTTTCGATTTAATTATTCCAAAAAGTCACTGTGGAAGAATGCAACTTGATGCTTTTAATAAGAAGTTATTATTCCATATCATACCAGACAGAACTCATGATGGAATAAAATACTGTGATTGCAATAAATGTAGACAAACCAGCAGTAAAGAGTCATGGCTTATTACAAATCATATAACACACAGAGGAGTGTATTTATGTATGGAATGTGGCAAAGCTTTTAATAAGAGGTCACAGCTTATTATACATCAGAGAACACACACAGGAGAGAAACCCTACCAGTGCAGTGAATGTGGAAAAGCCTTCTCACAGAAGTCATTGCTCACTATACATCAAAGGACTCATTCAGGAGAAAAACCTTATGGGTGTGGTGAATGTCAGAAAGCTTTCAGTAGGAAGTCCTTGCTCATTTTACATCAGAGAACTCATACAGGAGAGAAACCCTATGGATGCAGTGAATGTGGAAAAGCCTTCAGCAGGAAGTCACAGCTTAAAAGGCATCAGATAACCCATACAATAGAGAAACCCTATGGATGCAGTGACTGTGGGAAAGCTTTCTCCCAGAAATTAAAGCTTATTACACATCAGAGAACTCATACGGGAGAGAAACCCTATAAATGCAATGAATGTGGGAAAGCCTTCTTTTGGAAGTCACAGCTTATTACTCATCAGAGGACTCACACAGGGAAGAAACCCTATGCGTGTAGTGAGTGTAAGAAAGCCTTCAGCAGGAATTCACTCCTCATTAGACATCAGAGGATTCATACAGGAGAGAAGCCCTATGAATGCAATGAATGTGGTGAAGCCTTCATGAGAAAGCCACAGCTTATTAAACACCAGATAACTCATACAGGAAAGAAGAACTATCAATGTAGTGATTGTGAAGAGGCCTTCTTTAAGAAGTCAGAGCTAATCAGACATCAGAAAATCCATTTAGGAGAGAAACCCTATGGATGTGTTGAATGTGGAAAAACCTTCTTTGGGAAGTCACAACTCCTAACACATCAGAGAACGCATACTGGAGAAAAACCTTATGAATGCAGTGAATGTGGGAAAGCCTTCACTCAGAAGTCAAGCCTGGTATCACATCAGAGGACACACACAGGGGAGAAACCCTATGAGTGTGGTGAATGCAGGAAAACCTTCAGTGAAAAGTCAAGTCTCATCCATCATCAAAGAACCCACACAGGGGAAAAACCCTTTGAATGTGGCGAATGTAGGAAGGCTTTTGCCTGGAAGCCACAACTCATTAGGCATCAGAGAATTCATACAGGGGAGAAACCCTATGAATGCAGTGAATGTGGGAAAGCGTTTGTTCAAAAAGTGCAGCTTATTAAACATCAGAGAAATCACACAGGAGAGAAAACCTATGGATGCAGCGATTGTGGAAAAGCTTTTTTTGAGAAGGCACAGCTTATTATACATCAGAGAATTCATACAGGAGAGAGACCCTATGAATGTGATGAATGTGCAAAGTCTTTCACTAGAAAGTCACACCTCATGAGGCATCAAAGAATTCATACAGGAGAAAAATACTATGGACGCAATGAATGTGAGACCACCTTCAATAGGAAGTCACAGCTTATGATACATCAGAAAAATCATATAAGGTAGAAACCATATGAGGGCAATGAATGTGGAAAGCCAGTCTTAGATGTCATACCCTTTAACACTTGTGAAGAGAGTGTTTCTCACTACAGAAGAGAAAACTTATCAATGCAGTTACTGTTGAAAAAGCTTTCATGGGGAGTCTCACTAAACAGAATTCATAAAGGACAGAATTTGTAAAAAGTAAAGAATGTAAAAAGCCTTCCCCCAGCAGTCACAGCTAGTTACACATAAGGTAACTCATCAAGGTGAAAGTTTTATCAATACTGTATGGTACAAAAGCTTTTAGTCAGAAGTTCTCAGCTCATTAAACTGAGGATCTAAACAGGAGAAAAACTATTGTTTTAACAAGTGAGCAAAAAGATTTCATCAAGAAATGACAACTCATTATACACCAGAGAATACTTAAAACCCATTGCAGCTGAGTCCATTCCAACTTGTAGGGACCCTATAGGAGAGAGTAGAACTGCCCACTGGGTTTCCAAGGATATAAATCTTTACGGAAGCAAACTGCTATCTTTCTCCACTAGAGCAGCTGGCGAGTGCAAACTGCCGACCTTTTGGTTTATAGCCAAGCGCCTAATGACTACAGGAAATGCTGAATATTGTATATTAGAGATTTCATACTAAGGAATAGCCCTAATAATTTAAAGAGTTTGAGAAGCATAATCCCATTAAAATAATTCTCCAAGGAAATTGTGTTCACTGTATGTAAATTATTACAAAATTTGACAACTCTAAATAGTAACTCTGTTTACTAAGGGTGAAGATTTCTTCTGTCAGCCACAATAGAATGACAGACCAGATTTACTCTCCTGCCACGAACAGCTAGAAACTATACAATACATATGAAATAATGGTTTTCAAATACATGACAAGCACAGGTGTGAGATCCCTGGGAGAAAGGAAATAAGGTGAGGTGGGCCCTACAATGGCCTAGCTAACTGCCTAGTGGCAGTTTTTAGGTGGCAGTTCAGGGAGGGGAACAGTCTTGCTGGCTTCAGAAGACACAATTAGTGCAAGGAGTCGAGAATTTGCAGCAAAGAGTACTAGAGAAGAGGGAATTTGCCAGAGACAGAGCAAGCTCCAGAAATCTGCAGGGTCCCCTTTAACACTTTGAAACTTCCTGAGGCCAGGAAAAGAACCTCTAGAAAGCATAGTCTGAACAGTTCCAGGATCTCACACAGGGCTAGAAATAGTTCATGTTCCCACCAGCCAGAGCAGAAAGAACTTATGTGTGAGGCATCAGGTAGAATTCTCAGAATGGTATTGTTTTAGTAGTGAGGCTAAATTATCCCTAGATTAAAGGCTGCTCTGGACCCACCCTAACAAAGCTTAATCAAGCCTGTAAAGGACCTAATTAATTCCATGTAACTTAATTGTACACCAGTGCAAAATCCAACACTGTAAAGGAATACAACAAATCATAGCACCAACAAGGTAGAATTCACAGTGTCTGGCATGCAATAAAACTTATTTGGCATACAAAGAAGCAGGAGAAAAATAGATCAATAGAAACAGACCCAGAAAAGACAAAGATGATGGAGTTAATAGAAAGGATGTTAAAATAGCTATTATAAATGGAAAGTAGAGGAGACATGAACTTGATGAAACCTAAGGTGGAAGATGAAAGAAGGAGTCCAGGTGGAACTTTTAGGGATGAAAGCAACAATATTTGAAATTATACATATCTACATTATGTATATAATGAATTAAGAACAGATTAGACACAGAAGATCAATGAACTTGAACAGTAAGAACAGAAACTATCCACGTGACGTGTGGATTGAAAAAAGACTGGAAAAAAGAGAACAGAGAATCAGAGTGGTGAGATATACACATAATTAGTCCTGGTAGGTGCTGAGAGAGAAGGGAGCAGAAAAGTACTTGAATAAATAATGACTGAAAAATTCCCAAATGTGATGAAAACTATAACCTTACAGATTCAGTGTGCTCAGAGAACCCCAAGCAGAAGAAACAAAACTACACTTAAGTCACATTTTCTGAAAATCAGTGACAAAGAGAAAAATTTTGAAGCACCTAGAGAAGGAAAAAAAAAAAAGACACAATACATATAGAGGAACAAAAAACTACAGCACACTTCTTGTCAGAAAGTATTCAAACTAGAAGACACTGGAGTGAACATCTTTAAATTACTGAAAGAAAGAAAAAAGGAAGAGGGTGGGGAAGCCCTGCAGCTCTAAACCTATTCCCAGCAAAAACATTTTTTTTTTTTTAACTGAAGGCAAAACAAAGACTCTTTCAGACAAAAACCAAGAGAATTCATCACCTGCAAACCTGCCTGCAGGAAATTAAAGCAAGTTCTTTGGGCAGCAGGAAAGTAATACGAAGTGGAAATCTGGATCTACACAAAGGAATGGAGAGTGCCCAAAATGGTGAATATATGAGTAAATATAAAATTTTTTTTTTCTCATTTCTAAATCTTTTAGGAAGGTAGTTGACTGCTTAAAACAAAACTAATGAAATGTATTTGGGGTTTATTATATATTTAGAAGTAAAATGTGTGACAGTAGCACTTAAGTATGAAGCTTTCAAAATAGTTTAAATACATTGCCTCATCTGAATCAGAAGCTTGTTTCCTCAGAGCTCAGGTTGACTTGTATTTGTAGCAACTATACAAAAGAATTTTATGCATTATGGATCTGTGTATGTACTGATTATACTCTATTTCCCTAGACCCGTTTTCCTTCTTTCTCTGCTGTGCCCCCTCAGAGGCTGTCCTCTAGAGACTGCTTCTCTGGGTTTCTGCTTAGGTTTGAACCATGGGAGGTACCAGTAAAAGATCAGAGGGTGAGAGGGAGAGAGGTTGGGGTATTTATGAGCCCTCCCTCCTGGACCATGGTTAGGCAGTGTCTGTGCTCCTCTGTGGCTACAGCTCCCATTGGACAGCCCTTCTTACGTTGCTCTAGATCTTGCCATCTTTCAGTTAACAGCATTCCCTCTCCTTGCTGTTTAGACTTAAAGGTGATAATTGCTTCTTGGTGTTTCACCATCCCTTGTTGATTTCCTTAATTCTGAACACGTATCTTTAAATAGTCCCTTCATTAAATTTTCTTGAGTTAACTCTTTGAATGTGCCATTTATTTTCTGTGCCACGTTTTAAATGATGAGCATTTAACAAAATTGTGAGCATGGTACTGTTACTTGTGCCCCATAGAGCCTAGACTGACATTACCCAAATTTCCCACATTAAACATCAATATTTTCTCTTTGTACTTTAACACTGCAGGCGAAGTTATGGCAGAATTACGTAGTTCTTTGTGCCTTGTTTTGCTGCATATGTAAATGGCTCTGGAAGTTATTACCATCTGCTACATATGTAAATGGACTTGCAGTTAATACTAAATCCCTTGTCAGTAATAGGAACCAGAAGGTTTTTGAAGTCTTACATGCTACCTCTGAGTTGGCCAAACAACTTACAAAAGCATTGTTATTTATGTTAAATATGTACAGACAGGAAACAAGATAACCAGGTACTTAGTGAAGAAAGGCATGATGTACCATATTTCTCAGTACTCTAATTTTAAAAAGTTGTGCTACACTATGAACATATCCTCATCCCATATCCTGCTGTTTTCTGTTACTTATAATTCATGTAAGCTGTAACCCATAAACAAAATTTTCCAATTTGATAAAATTTCCATTGTGGTCAGACTTACTGTAGAGAACCTCTGAAAGCCTCCACACAGCCTTTCCCAGCAGTTCCATCACAAACCCTTTGCAAAAAGAAAGTCAGCTCTTCTAAGGATAAACCATAGTTTCCTCACTTATAATCTCATAAAGCATACCAAAGAGGCCCACTGTAGACATCAGTCCCCTATCATTTCCCTTAAGAACTTCACCCTTCCATATCCTCTCTCGACCACTCATTCTCTCCTACTGGCATACAAACCTCATCTGAAAGGAAATGATTACCGTCTAGCTACCTGGCAGTTTTTCTCTCCCAGTTGAGTTTGCATTTCAACCTGCATTTTGAAATGGGTTCTTTATGCAGGTTTCCTATGTTGTACAGCACCAAGAGGCACCATTTACATTGTACTCTGTGTTAATGAAGTTGTGTGACTCTCTGTCCCTGCCTTTAAGGCATTAGCTAACTAATTAGTCTTTTGAGACTTGGGCATAATTGGAATACAACACTGTGACTGTTAACCTGTAATCGTTTCTTTGTAATAGTGCTATGTGATCTATATATGATAGTAAAATGGTTTCCACCATCAGGATTCCCCCATGACTCCTTTTATTTGCCACATAGTGAAGACAGAGGTTATACTCACTTCACTCTTATTATCTTAGAAAACTTTATTTACCTCATGATGCCTGTCTGCAACTTGGGAACAGCCAATATAACATCTCATGGCCGGCTCAAAAGAAAATTCAAGTAAGCTATGTATAAAGTGGAGGAACCCCAGTGGCGCAGTGATTAAGCAACTGGCTGCTAACCGAAAGGTCGGCAGTTCCAACCCACTAGCGGCTCTGCAGGAGAAAAGACCTGGCGATCTGCTTCCGTAAAGATTACAGCCTTGGAAACCCTATGGGGCAGTTCTGCTCTGTCCTATAGGATCACTATGAGTCAGAATCAACTCGACAGCAACAGCTTTGGTGTTAGGCTTGGTTATATCTAAAGTATGTTCTCCATATTGCAGTTTCCCTCTAAGTCATCTTTCTCACACACACCCCAGCACATATCAGTGCACATACCTTAATAAGCAGTGGATTCGTTTTGAGGCCAAACCTATGAATTTGGTGATACTATCTAATAGTTTTTTATTTTCTTTTGGGATCTTTGCAACTTAGAAAACAATTATTACTCATTGTATCCAGGTAGTTTTGACATCTTGCCATCAAGACTGTTACTTGCAGAAAGCTATGATTAAATAAAACAGAGAACACCAAATTTATTTAACAATTCCTGAATCATTAAAGGTGCCCAACAAAGAGAGTGTTGCTATAGAAGCATTTACTGTGGAGATGAAAGGCAAAGAGAAATACAAGTGAAGAAACATTTATAATTTGAGGTTTTCATTTAAAGCGTTTCTATCATTAAAAATACTTGTGAAAAACAAATCAAGCTCAGACTTATAAAAAATGGTGGGGGAGCTAATGAACTTTTTAGTGCTTCTTAGAGAATGACCATGTGAAGAGATCCTTCAAACCAGGGACAACTTCCACTACAACCATCCAAATGTAGCACAGCTTTATCCCCAAACCATGAAGCTCTCAAGGCAGCTCCCTAGGGACCTAAACAAGATACATATGATATATTCTACTGTGTATAATGTGTGTGTAAAACAGACTGTAAGATGGTAATGATGCTGCTTCCCATCCGAGGATGAGGTAACTACCTGACTGAAAAAGACTGGACTGCTCTTCATTCTAGAGGAGGAGCACTTTGTGTGCGCAGCTGACCATTTGTCTCCACTGACCACTGCATCTTCCTGAGATCCAGGCAGGCAGGGGGAGCTGTGCTAGCTCAAACTTATTGCTAATGCTTCCGTCTATGCTGTTTTTTAAAAAAAAAAAAATCTCTGTACCTGTATGTTTACTGAGTAAACTGTTTAATGAGTTAATACGTGTGTGTGTGATCATTGCAAACAATGTACAAATAAACTCTCACTTGCATTCTAACTCGGTGTCCCAATAGAAGTAACAATTTTCGTCACTTCCCAACATTTTGTAATCTGGATACTCCTAAAACACCAAGAGAAAAGCACCCTGTGTTTCGGTAGTAGTTATTGGTGGTGGTGGTGTTTGGTACCCATCACACATTACACTTAATGCTGAGACCTAATCCTTTTTAAACGGGGAACAAGACAAGAGCCATCACTTCTGCTTCATTTAAAAGTTTTGTTTTTATCAAATGCATGCATGCGTATAGTTAAAGAACTTACTCTACAAAGTTTGTTATGAGAAAACTGCAGTTTCCCTCTCCTCTCCCCCCGCCCCCCGTGTATCTTGATTGTATCATTTGAGGATCTGTCTATTGTGGGAGTTGAGGATTTGGCTGTCTTCTTCCACACATTAACAGCCTTCCCATCTCCTTCTGCTTCCAGAATAGTTGAAGTGTAATTTTGGTTACAACAGTATTCGATATTTACACGATATAATTATGTAAACGATTTCTCTTAGAATTTTGAATGCGATGTTACATTGTCTTCTACCTTCCAGCATGAAGCATTTCTGATCCTTTGATATGACCTGATTTTTCTCCCTGGAAGCTTAGTAGATAATTGTTTCTGTCCCCAATGTTCCGATATGTCTTAATGATATGCATTATTTTGATCAATTTTTTTGTTTGTTTTTAGGAAAAATATTTCATTTGGAAGTTAAAACTTACAGAAAAGTTGCAAGAATAATACATAGAACACCCTTTTCCAGATACAGCTACTGTAAACAGTTCACCTCGTTTGCTTTATTACTTACATGTTCTCTCTCCCTCTTGGGATCCCTCCCATGTACATATGATGGAACAGCATTGCATACATCATGGCCCTTTACTCCTAAATACTAGAGTGTATATTTCCTAAGAGAAAGGATAGTCTCTAACATTACCCCAGTGTAGTTATCAACTAATATAACTATAATACAATTCCATTACTTAATCTATTGTCCATATTCCAATTTTTTGCAATTGACTCAATAATGTTCCGCCCCCCCTTTTTAGCATTTCCCCTTCTCATACTGTATTCAATCTAGGATTAAGTACTGCATTGAGATTTTATGTCTCTGGAGTCTCATACAGTCTTAAACATTCTCATAGCCTTTCATTTTTGACACTGACATCTTTATTGTCCCTCCGTTTTTTAATATAAGTTCCTCATTTGAGGCTGTCTGATGGTTGTCATGGTTAGAATAAGTTATGCACAAATTTTTTTTTGGCAAGAATACTCCCTAGGGGATGCTGTGTAGTACATATTGGATTGCATTGAGAAGTACATGTTTAGTTGAACAAATTTTGGGAGTTTTACAAGTAATGAGAGAGATCAGGTTGTGAAAGCCTAAACCTTCCACTATAAAGTTAGGTTTTGGTCCTGGTAGTGGGTAATCTATAAAGTAA